TCTCCTTGGAGTTCTTCATCTGGTGGCTGGCGCATTTTGTCAGAGTCTTTTGGAACACGCCACACCAAAACGCCAGTCAAAAACCAACGTGCCATGTGTCCTCCAAGGTCATATGCTGGTGTGAAAGGACCAGCCACATCCAGAGACAAAGTGCCAGTTTGAAGATGCCGGGCTCGGCGATGAGGTTCTTGTTGTTGAAGGGTTTCCTGACATGTCTTGCAGTCTTTGCGATAGGGAACGTGGCCAAATCTGATGTGATCCTCCCAAGACATAGGAGCAATCCTTGCATGTGATTGCATGGTCTGTTCTTTGATGGCCACAGCTAACATCCGCATCAGACCAGGTGGCCACCGAGCAAGATCTTTTGACGATCGAACTCCCCCAGGACAAACAGAACCTTTGATTTGAAAATCTTCTGGAACCAAATCAAGTGAAGTTCCCAAGGTGGTGGGTTTCGTGGCTTCCCCACCCAAACTCTTTTGTGTGAAGTGCGTCTCCTTCAACTCAAACTCCTTTCTAATCTCATGCCATTCCCATTGATCCCACAATGAGACGACTTCAGGCTTGTAGTCTCGTGGTGAAGATGGCTGCTCAAGCACAAAAGCCAGTGGATGATCATGCCCTCGAGCTCGTCGAGCATATGTTGCAATCATGAAAAGAAAAATTTGACGCCACAAAAGGATGTCATCCTCTTCTACCATTTTCTTCTCTTTTTCACTCAAATCTTTCTTCCCATACTCCTCTCCTTTCCACGCTCTGACAGGCCGAGGTGCAGTGTCACATCCAGGAATCTCATAGTGCCTCAAGACACTGCGAGATCGGCAGTTTGGTCCGCCCGCAATTCCCAAGATCTTGCCCTGGATGGCTGCAGTGATCAAAGACGCGTAGATGCCATCATCAGGAATCATGTCATGTTGACTTCCTCTTTTGACATCTACTTCCAAAAGAATTCTTTCTTCTCCCGTACACTGTTTCCAGGCCTTTCCAAACGTGAAGCCTGAATCTTCTCCAGCGTAGAGATGTAGAAGCAGTCCATCTCTTTGCATAGCCCTCCTCCATCTCCGATTGCAAGGAAGACCATTCCATGCAAGTCGCTCTTTGGTGTGATCCGGTAGTTGAGAGAGAACAGGATGGGCTTTGACCATGGCTTGCAGCCACTGAATTCATCGCTCATCTCAAGACCTCTCTTCAAACCTTGATTTGCATCTTCCAACTCTGAGATCAGGTCCAAAGCCAGTTGACGACTGACTTGAGGGCAGCCATTGTGCTGCGAAACTTTCAGATCACCTCGTAGTGGATGTCGTATGGAGAGCTTTCCATCCTTCCATGCAATCTCGCACCCAAGAACTTCTGCAAGAGGACCCATCGGAACTATCGGTTCCACCATTGGGTCAGGAGAGATCATCGCTCTTCCAGGTGACATCTTCAATTGAATCCTTCTTCCATCTGCCAAAGAGACTCCCACGACTGGGAAGCCAGCTGTCACCTCTCCGTTTTTCTGTGGTCGAAGAGGATGTGTCGCACCAGAGTCAATGAGACCAGCTTGATCTCCTGTCGCCATCTTTTGAAGCCTGAGAACTTTTTGTTTCTGCCTCAGGGAGTTCAACTGCTGTTGAAGTCTTTCCATCAAATCTTCTTTTCCTTCTGAGTCCTTGGCAGATCCAGAGCTGGCAGAAGACGCCGATGAAGATGGAGCTCCTGAGATGCTTTTCAGCACCTTACTCGCCTCATCTATCAAGTCTTTCATAGCGGAATCTTGTGTCGATGCCGCTGCTTCTTCAAATTCTTTCTTGCCTCCAACCTTCTCTTCCTCAGTCTTCAGCTGCTTCGCTTTTGAGGCAGACTTTTCTGGGGAGGTTGAAGACGATTTCGGTCGTGTGCAGCTTGGTGCTAAGATGTGCTAAGTGTTGTGAGCTGCCGCACACGTAGCATCTCCTCAATTCGTCTCGCTGTTCATGCGACCACGTACACTCGCGGCCTTTTCTGCATCCACCTTCAGTCAGGTAATACCTGCATTTCTGTCTGGACTTCTCTTCATCATTCTTTTCTCTGTCTCTTCCCTTTCCCTTGCCCTTCTCTGCTGCCTCTGCCTCCATGTTCTTCAGCTTCGGAAGTTCTACCTCCTTCTTCGCCGTTGTGGTTATTGATCTCTTGTCAGTCATCGCACATTGTTCAAGTTCAGCAAGAAGATGTGCTGCAAGTTGGTCCACCGAAGATGAAGTTGGAGTTGTGTCCACCGACAGGGTGTTCCGGACAAGAGAGACACGGAACTGGATGTCGCGATGCGATTCGAGCACCCGACGAGTCATCTTGTTGAGGCCTTTGAGCAACAAAGCTGGGTCCGGCTCCACAGCGCCGACTTCTTTGGCACGACGGCGCCATCTCATCCATTTGCGGATCGCTCCAGGTGCTTCTTGGACTGAGGCGATCTCTGCCGGGTCCTCCAAGCTTTTGAGCAGGGTCTGTTTCTCAGCCACACCACCTGGTGAGTAAGTGGTGTACAAGTATGTGAGCACCCCAAAAACATCCATTCTTCTTGCTGCCACCAGTTCTTCGCGACAAGATTCTGGGATGGCCTTCATGATCATAGTTGAAACGCGCCTTTCCAATCGCTGCCAACGAGGTTGTTGAAGAGGAGCAGGGGCAGCAAAGCCATGATTCAGTCGATCAAGGGGGCTCAATGAAACATGCCGCTGATACCAAGCTTCCACCTCCTGTGTCATGATTTCCCACCACTCTTGAGAAGATGTGGTGAGGTCAGAGATGATGGGATTCAAGAGCAACATCCAATCACCAAGTTGAAGTGGCCCAGTTCCAGACGTCCAAGGCATCAGATCGGGCAAATCTGGAGCACCCGAGCGAACCACCTCCACTCCCATCACCGCTCCTTCATCATTCTTTCCATCGCTGATCTTCTGCTGCAGGTCTCTCATCGACTGCATCATCAGGAACATGAATTCCATAGTCTTTGAGTTGAAGTCTTCTTCTCGACTTCTTTCTTGTTGGCCTCTGGGCCCATCCTCAAATCTTTCACCTTTCTTCCAAGCTTCGCCACAATCACCATTTGAACTTTCAATCTTTGGGGGTCTCACAGCCTCCTGGAAACCTTGCTGGCCAACTGACCCGTCCTCTTTTGGTGGTCTCGCAGCCTCAGGGAAAACTTGCTGGCCAACTGACCCGTCCTCTTTTGGGGGTCTTGCAGCCTCAAGGAAAACTTGCTGGCCAACTGACCCGTCCTCTTTTGGGGGTCTTGCAGCCTCAGGGAAAACTTGCTGGCCAACTGACCCATCCTCTTTTGGGGGTCTCGCAGCCTCCTTACTGAAAACCCTCTCCAGATTCATCCCTTGCAAACGAGTGGTGTCTATGCCAAAACTTCGCTCAGCGACCACTTCCGTCCTTGGAGATGCTATCAGGAGTTGCAAAACGCGCCTCAGGTTCTGCAGGTTGTGATTCTACAGCTAGAATCCTTTCTTTCAACTTCTGATTCTCATTCAGGACAGAGACCAAAAGTCGTTTGATCTCTTCTCTTTCACTTTGTTCTACAACCTTTCTATTCTGCAACATCGCCAACTGCCTATCCCTTTCCAAAAGCTCTTCGTTGAACCTTCTTTCTTCAGATTCCAAGAACCCTGGTCTCGGGATCGACGGCGTGAATCCTGTCCCTGTCATGCCATACAGCCATGGAGTTCGCTGCTGAAGCTGGGTCATTTGCTGGACTTGTTCAGGAGAAAAAAGAGGAGTATAGGCCATTTCAAATTCTGATTTCTTCACATCTGGAGGGGTTGCAGCTAAGCCATTGGGAGAGGAATTTGCGGAGCCTCTCACACTAGGATCTTGGACCCTTTCTTTCCTTTCTAAACCCTGGTTTCCACCCTCTCCTGTCCTCTTCTCTTCACTTTGCCTTGCCGTCAAAGCTGGAGTCGGCCTTTCTGATGCCGATGCACTCTTCGAAAAGCTCTGAGGTGGCTGTGAAGGCGGCGGAGTGGCTGGAACTGCTGGACGGAGGGAGACAGGCTGACCTTGTGGTTGGTCAGGAGTAGCACTACTCAAAACCAAAACACCTTCACCTTTCTTCACCTCATCCTCTAAACCACTAGCTGCTTCATCCCTTTCTTCTATCTTTTCATCTTCTATGGCCTCTTCACCCCTTTGTTTACTTTCTTCTTCCATTCGTTTTTGAGCTAACTGCATCTCCTGCATTCCTTGTTCCATCTCCTTTTGAGTTGCCCTTCTTCTGATGTTTAAAGACATTGCGCAGGAGCCTTTCACCTTGGGCTCATAACCTGGTTTCACCCAGGCTATGACCCACACAGCAACGCGACCTCCTTTTTCTAATCTGCTGCTGGTTCTGGGCGTTGATCCAAAGGGCAGCTTATGGATTGGCCCTTCGACATGTTTCCAAAATGAAATCTGCAAATGAAAAATGTTGATATGCAAAATGCAACTGACATGTGAAGTGCAACTGTCATGGAATGCTGCAGTCAACATCCATAACTACCATCTATTTTGGTGTTCACCAGGGTCACCAGGGTAGGTTCCGAGAATCCCAACAGCATAGTTCGCGGCGAAGACCTGCTTGACTTGTTGGATCAAACGGAGATGTTTGCTCAGAACCATGCTTCACAGAACTTGAAGCATCCATACTTTTGAAACAATATATTAATATAGCCTTCCACACAAGTCCAAGGTTTGCTTTTTCCGAGATTCTGACCCTTTTGTAAAAAAATCTGAAAATTGCCCGATTTGGGGCAAACTTATGTACAGCTACACATGCGCAAGTGAGCACAGGACGTCTCCCCCAACCTTATGATAGACAGGGATGTTTCTTCCATACCCCGGGCTGCAAATCATTTGCACAACCCAATGATCGTGCAAGTATCTGGACTTTCGAGTTCCCCCTTCGAAATCCCATCGGTGAAATCTCCTAAAATCTCCATGTTTTCTGAGCAAAATTGGCGAAATCTTCATGTTTCTCGCTGAAATACCTAGCTTTTCACCGTTCATCCCTTGCGGCTCGCGGCCCGGCGCGCCTTTGCTTCCTCAGGGGAATGGATCGGAATCTCCACTGATCGCCGGCCAGGCTGATCCAGCTGCACCTCCTCCAACACGAAAGGACGTTCTCTGGGCCCGGGCCGGGGAACATCGATCTGTTCCAGGCCCACCTTAGGAGCGCAGGTCGCGGTTCATTGAACGTTCAGGCCGTTAAGGCCATTAAGGCCGTTAAGGGTGTTCCACCAGGAAACTTGGAACGATCCTGGGATAAACCGTGTTTCATAGTGTTTCACTTGGCAGAACTGCCAGCAGTTGCAGACAGTTCACTATGCAGACATGGCGGAATTCTGCAGGAACGATTCATGCATCGTTTTCTCACGGTTCACCTGGTCATTGACTTGCGTTCGAGAACTGCCCATGTGTGAGCAGATCTCTGCAAGAAAGCCTTTGATGCATGCTCAAACAAGGGGCATCAAAAATTTGATGTTGTTTAGCCGTTTACGGCCCAGTTTAGTGATGCTTTGTATGTTGATACTCACAAATTATCATGGTTTATAATCTTCCCCATTAAAACAGCCACTTCGGGTCTACCTCATTTTCAGATAAACCCATAGCATGGTATCAAGTTGGTTATCTATCCCATTCTATCCCATGGTAATCCCATCCTTATCCCCATTATGGTTGGCTATATCACCACTTTCCCATATAAAGTATGATAAAATATGTACCCTCCGCTAATCAAACGTGGCTCACTGGAGAATCCTCTTCGAATGGAGGCTTTCATAGGAAAAATCGAAAAATCATCGAGCTCAACGGGGGATGGTCGGATTGTCCAGCCATGGTTGATTACCGGTCCCCAGTTCAGGAAATTCTGAGTCTGGAACGGGAGGTGCCTGAAAGTCATCCATTGGATCTTTGAAGACCTGAAAAATGCAAAAGTGCTGCGGAGACTGAAGAGTAGTCGCAGGGGACAGTCAAAGGCTGCAAACTGGTGAAAACATCTGTAAACGGAGGGGGTAATAGAATCAGGATATTTCAGGGAAATATCATGGAATAAATTCAGAGGGATATTCGGATATTGGTTCTTAATTAGTGAATACCCTCTGAATTGCCCAGTTTCACTGGTTTCTTGAATGATTTTTCCATATTTTTCCTCCAGTTCTTTCAGCCCCGCCTGCAATGCCGGATCCTCTCGCCCCAGTAGCTCCGGAATCTCGCCATCCAGCGGAGCCGACCGCTGATCGTCGTTGAAGAAGTCAAGGGCCGAGGTTCGAATCCGCCTGGGGCCGGCTGGCGAATTCATCACACTTGGGGTGGGAAAAAATCCTTCAAAAGCAGCCACTGTAGAAGATGGACAAACTTCAACACCCAAAAAACAGCACGTCCAGGGCATGAGATGCAGTGACAACATATAGAATGGCCATAGGCTCCCTTGGTCATAGCTTGGAATGATTTCTAAACATTGCACTTGCGCTATGAGCACCATTGAAAGTCAAAAACTAGCACTTCCTGGGCCATCGAGAGTCACAAGCAAAATCCTCTGCACGAGACTCTTACAAGACTCACAAGACATCATGTGTCATGATGTCCCAGTCAACACCTGTTGTTTACTCTATTCATGTTGGTCACTCAGAGCTGGACCCCTTGCGCAAGAAAAGCTGCTCCTCCGCAGTTCGGGGAGATATTGAAATGGATCATTTTCAGACCTGTCCTGCCACTTCGGGGAATCGAAGAAAAAGATTGGGGATATGATCTTAAGAAAATTTCACACGTCAAAAATAAAGGACTCCTCGCAAAATCATTGAGGAATCGCATGGCTTTAGGGTGTCGCAAGTTGGGACCTATCCTCTGAGAGATTTTGCTGCAGCAGCTTGTCCTGGCCCAAGCACGGCAGCCCAAGTTTCCTGGCAATGGCCAGCGGCCAAAATTGCAAAGCTCCGTGTGTCTCCACACAGCTAGCCCTACCAACATGGCAAGCCAGCAGAAAGTTGAGAATGAGGTCCAAGCAAACCCACTTGTGTCTGAAAATGTGCATGGGGCAAACCAATTCTTTGGTCATTTTAATGGGAAAATGATCAACATCCAGTGATATCCTATGCGGTAGTCTCTGGTACCCACGCCAAGAAAACCCTTCAGGCTCCTGAGTCTGGCTGAAGCTTTGGTGCAGGCCTCGAGTTCTTCCTGTCCGGGTTTAAGAAAAGGAAACCAGATTCAATAGACTCAAGGCGATTTGTCGTCAGACTCCAGAAACAATGAATGATATGGGAGGTTCACCTGTGCCAGTTTCTCTGCAGTGCGGCAAATCCAAATACCAAGCTCTTGTTGTTGCAAAACATGACCGATGCAAAACGCAGGATGAGTCAGCATGAGCCATGAAAACTTGAGGCCGGGGGTGGATGACGAAAGCTAGCGGGGTAGGAGGAAGAAGGAAGGGAAGACGTAGCTTCAGTGTCAGCAGGGAAATGTCGGTGGCGTTTCCGCGTCAAACCCTAAGTGAGGATGCTGACCCTCTACCAGCCGGAAATCTCCTCTCGGGAAGGCTCGGGGGGGACCAGGGGGGGATCGAACCTAATGCCGATGATGACGATGATGATGAGGATGGTGATGATGATGATGATGATGAGGAGGAGGAGGAGGATGATGATGATAACAAAGTTGATGACGATGACAATGACGCTGACACTGACAACGACGATGACGGCTGAAAATGACAATGACGGTGACGATGACAATGACGATGAAGATGACAATGGCGAAGACAATGACACTGACAATGACGATGACAATGACGATGATGATGATGATGATGGTGATGATGATGATGACGATGATGATGATGATGATGATGATGACGATGATGGAGATGATCACGATGACGAGAACGATGCCAATGACCATGACGATGACGAAACCGATGACGATGACGATGACGATGATGACGATGATGACGATGATGCTGATGATGGTGATGGTGGTGGGGTTGGGGGGGGACCTTTCGCGTGAAAAATCACGTGATGTCCTTGAGCAGCCCCTGGAATACTTGCTAAAGCAAGAAGACTCCAGCTAGCTGACGCTAGCTTTCGTGACATGCGAACAAAGCAGCAAGCTTTCCACAACAACTCAGGAAGTCAAGTCTCCGCCAAGAAACAGGGAGGTATGTGGCATGATGGCCACGATGATAGCTAAATATGTATATATATATACACATATATATATATATCAGATACATAACTTTGCTTACAGTTATAAGAATCTTAGTCAGCCAGGGAATGGAAAACCCAAAAAAGATATTTTGTCGTTGGAACCTTCCTATATTCATCGTTTGATTTATCCTGGGATTTATCCTCTGTTTTTTGCCTTCCTAAATTCATCATTGGATTTATCCTGGGATTTATCACCTGCGTTTTGGATTCCTAACTTCATCTTTGGATTTATCCTGGGATTTATCCTCTACTGTTTGCCATCCTAAATTCATCCTAGAATCCGTCCTAGGATTTCTTCCAGGGTTGTTGCCCCTGCCGCCGACCCCAGGAAACCAGGGATACGTAAAGGCATGGCATAGATAGACAGTCCATCAAAACATCTACAGCGAGGTCTAATCAAACCTAATCTATTCGAAGTTTTTTTTTTTGCAAGCCTACATTTAACATAGTAACCTTCCTGAATCCATCCTGGGATTTGTCATTGTTTTTTGCCAACGGTTTCTGTTTGCTCTCCTATAAGTCGCGGGTCTTAATCTCGATGTCATCTTGGTCCAAAGAAGCTAGTTTAATCTCTATGTCATTTGAGTAAACTTAGCGACAATATCTATGTCACATCATGCCCCTCCAATTCCAGCGGAGAGTATCCGATAAACTCATAAACCCATGTTCCAAAAGGATTCAAGCCACATGGATGGCTGACTTTTTGATTAGCTAGGGTGATTTGTGGACACTTGTAGGATTAGGGTGGTATCTAGGATGATTTTGGGTAGCCTTTCTGGGACATGTTGAGAAAATGATGATTTCTAGGATGATTCCGGGTGACTTTTCTGGGACATGCTGAAAAATGATGCTTTCTACGATGATTTTGGGTAGCATTCCTGGGAATCGTTGAAAACATGATGATTTCCACGATGATTTCGACGATGATTTTTCGATGATTTTGGGACAGCTTTCAAACGATAAAAAAATGATAAAACTGCGGGAAATTATCATTTTTTTATCGTTTGAATCATCGTTTATATCATCGTTCTTGGGATGTTCCCTTCGTTTTCCTCAAAAATGCTCCAAAATGGAGAAAATGATGATTTCGACGATGATTTTTCGATGATTTTGGGACAGCTTTCAAACGATAAAAAAATGATAAAACTGCGGGAAATTATCATGTTTTTATCGTTTGAATCATCGTTTATATCATCGTTCTTGGGATGTTCCCTTCGTTTTCCTCAAAAATGCTCCAAAATGAAGAAAATGATGATTTCGACGATGATTTTTCGATGATTTTGGGACAGCTTTCAAACGATAAAAAAATGATAAAACTGCGGGAAATTATCATTTTTTTATCGTTTGAATCATCGTTTAAATCATCGTTCTTGGGATGTTCCCTTCGTTTTCCTCAAAAATGCTCCAAAATGAAGAAAATGATGATTTCGACGATGATTTTTCGATGATTTTGGGACAGCTTTCAAACGATAAAAAAATGATAAAACTGCGGGAAATTATCATTTTTTATCGTTTGAATCATCGTTTAAATCATCGTTCTTGGGATGTTCCCTTCGTTTTCCTCAAAAATGCTCCAAAATGGAGAAAATGATGATTTCGACGATGATTTTTCGATGATTTTGGGACAGCTTTCAAACGATAAAAAAATGATAAAACTGCGGGAAATTATCATTTTTTTATCGTTTGAATCATCGTTTAAATCATCGTTCTTGGGATGTTCCCTTCGTTTTCCTCAAAAATGCTCCAAAATGGAGAAAATGATGATTTCGACGATGATTTTTCGATGATTTTGGGACAGCTTTCAAACGATAAAAAAATGATAAAACTGCGGGAAATTATCATTTTTTTATCGTTTGAATCATCGTTTATATCATCGTTCTTGGGATGTTCCCTTCGTTTTCCTCAAAAATGCTCCAAATGAAGAAAATGATGATTTCGACGATGATTTTTCGATGATTTTGGGACAGCTTTCAAACGATAAAAAAATGATAAAACTGCGGGAAATTATCATTTTATCGTTTGAACCATCGTTTAAATCATCGTTCTTTGGATGCTCCCTTCGTTTTCCTCAAAAATGCTCCAAAATGGAGAAAATGATGATTTCGACGATGATTTTTCGATGATTTTGGGACAGCTTTCAAACGATAAAAAAAATGATAAAACTGCGAGAAATTATCATTTTTTTATGGTTTGAATCATCGTTTAAATCATCGTTTTTGGGATGTTCCCTTCGTTTTCCTTAAAAATGCTTCAAAATGATTGAAAAAGTGGCAAGCCACTGGAAATGTGGAGAAAATAATGATTTCTACGATGATTTAAAATATGATTATTTTTGTGATTTTGGAAACTTCTCTGCGGGGCGCCAATATAAAACTGTGAAACAACAGCCGTAACGCGCGCTGTTTTGTGCCTAAAGGGCCTGGCGATGCAAAGTCAGACATGATTTCATGTCCATGTGAACTGGAATGGATTCCTACACTCACGTCTCGTTTTGTGCGTGTCATCCTTGCTTCCATGACTGCCATGCCACATGTGAGCACTGTTCCAACTCTTTCGTACTCCTCCTCAAAAAGGCTGAGTCTTTGACTTGCCTCTTTTGTAAATTTCTTGGCCTCCATGACAGTCTCTCCAGCGCTTCTTTCTGAAAAGCCATCATTTTGAAAAACCATTGAATTCTCATCCACGCATAATTCCATGAAGGTCCTCCACATACCGTAGGTACGATCCTGCACGGTCATTGTGTTCACGGTTTCGTGCTGACCTGTGCAGTCTCTGAAAAACATTTCTGATTCTCTCAATCACGCCCATAGTCATCCCAACAGGATTTGTTCCAGAACTTGCATCCAGAATTGTAATCAACGCCTGTTGGATCATTGAGGCGTCCTTCCATGCTTCTCTTGTCAATGCAATGTTTTGTTCTCTCCTCATTGCTTCCATCAGGTTGCTCATACCTTCTGTGGATGAAGGTTCAACCTCATCATCTGTCAATCTTTCCTCCTCTGCATCTTCTAAAGGGTCGGTGTCATCTGGTCGATTCCTCTGCATGTTCCATAGGACAAAATTTGCCCTTTCCTGAGTAAACATATGGGTCCTTTGTTGTCCTGTGAGGCTTTGGTTCCTCACAAATCCTCCAAACTCCATCAACCCATAGCGCACAACGTCAGTTGCATCGTCCAAAACAGTCAATGCATCTCTTGTATCATCTGCATTGGTTGCAATGCGATTTGCCAACTGATCCAATCGTTCACCCAGGGCATGGATTGCATCTCTCATCCATGTCATATTATCCAACCTTTCACAAAGCCATGCGGCATACTCATAGTGGTCTGCCAATTGAGTTTCCACGTTCTCCATGTCTTTTCTCATCTGCGTCCATTTGCGCCATCCAAACCGGCAAATTGCCGCAAGAAAAATCACCAGAAAAATTCCCAGCATCCACCAAGCATTTGTGCCATTGCCTGGCTCTGAACACTGCTGTGCATCAGCGACCACCGGCCCAAGGCCCATAGCAACGCTCATGTTGAAAATCGTTTTGGCAATCCTTTTGATTTGTTGGCTATTGGCGCTTTTCTCCTTTTGCTGTTGTGCTTCCTCCCATCCAACCTCTTCACCAGTTGCAACATAGATTAAACCACTTTCATTCATCAAATAAGAAAGCCTTTGTTTTGCCAAGCTCTTCGTCCCAATGTCAGCCAAATTCACCGCTGTAGGCAGTTGCCTGAGTATCACCAGCTTATCGTTCACCATCTGTTGTACCCACAAAACCTTTCCAGACAAGTGTCGAACTTTTCCAACACCTTGACGACTGGCCAGCTGTCGGGCACTGCTGCTGTCTGTGAACTGAACATGGTGAATTGATTCTCCCAGAACAAACTGTGCACATGCTATGATGAAAAGGCCATCGCACATTGAGCTTACCAGGCTATGAAGTTCACTTTCACAAGAAGACAATGAAATTGTTTTCTGAGTCCTGCTGCT